GCCGTTTCGTGAGGATCAAAGTGGAGGGGGGGTGCAGGGCACCAGCCAAGAAAAAGCAGAGGGGTCCGACGACAACTTTCAAGAAACCTGTCGGTCCTATGGTCTTGGAGTATGACAGGGTAGGGCAACCCTCAGGTAAATGGCGTCGTCAGTATGCTGGTCAAGTTGGGATTTGTGCGCGCAAAATCCCCATTACGCTTCGTAGAGCGACGTACCTACAGGCTTGAATTGACACGTTTTTGGAATGATACCAGGGTAAGTTTGATTTGATGTGATTATTTATAAACAATTTCAATTTATTGTTATGTTATTGGAAAACAAATAATGTTTGTTATATGTGCTTGCAGAGTCTATTTAACATTCCAAATGAGTACGCCAAGCGAAGGGTGTTGAATCCTTACTTGCGGCAAGATTCAGAAGCTTCAAGTGTAACTTAGTTCGTCGGTTTATCACAAAGAAACTTGTGAGGAAACCAAAGAACAAGAAAGGAGTGGCAGTGATGATGATGTCAACGATGAAGAGAAACTCCCTTGGAAAATATGGCCTAGCATATCGAAGGATGATTGGGAGGCTTTCGTTCATCAAAAATGTAAAAAAGAAGAAATTGTAAGTTTAAAGAACTCTGATGAAAATTGTGTTGTAATTTATCGTCTTTTTTATTAGTAATGAAACTAACATATATATCTTTTTATGTAGGAAATGAGGGAGCAGAATTCCAGGAATGCGTTGCAAAAGCAATACCACCATCATATGGGAGCAATGACGTATGATGAATGGAGGATACGTGGGTGAGTGAAGGAGTATACCCCACTGCGCTTCTAGGGTCCTCCACAGCGCCGTCTGACTCCACGACCAGTACTTTGGTGAGTCGTGCTGGGGATTTCTTTTGCTCTATGCATTCGCGGACAAGAAGACCGGAAAATGGTCCATCAAGGCTCCGGAAACCAAATAAATGACAGATAAGCTAGTAAGCAACTATGAACCAGTGAACTACTTTATTCATTTGCATGTATATCACTTTATATAAACACTTACTTTATGTTGCCATTTTGTTTTTGCTACAGCTTGAGTACACCGGAGAGCTTGTTGAAGGCAAGCTCGTCCCGACGGTAGAGAAGGATCCCTTCACCTTGGCTATGGGAAAACCCTACCATCCGGGACGGGTATTATATGCTGGGGGGAGCTTGCTAGGATGGGAGAAGGTAATGGGTCCCGAATATACCAAATCTGGAAGATCGGAGCAAGTGTGAACTCGCCACAGAACTTCGATGCCACAGTGGCATCAATTAAAGAACAAGTGCGCAATGAGATGCGCGAAGAGTTCAATGCATGGGCGAAGCAAATGAATTTGCCGACCTTGCCTTTTTCCTCGACAACACCGGCCGACTCAAGTAGCCACCCACGAAGAGAAGGAGAACAGGAGATAAATGCACGCGAGGAGGTACGTGATTAGAATTCAACTCTATAAGTTTTGATATGTTGAGTTACGTGGGTACGGTTCTAATTAATGTTTCACTATCAATACACTATTGCAGATTGGTACTCCTTCACATGCGAACTCAAGGGGGCTTGATACTCTGACACCTCATGACTTTCCTATTCTACAGGTGATTTTTTACTTACTTGTTTGGATAATGATATTGGTTTTTGGATTGTGTTGTGAAATGGTTAAGTTGGCTGTGAAATGGTGTTTCTTCGCTGTGTTGTGTTGTTTGTGTTGCTTTAATTTGTTGATGTGATGTGTTGTTGTTGTCTGCTTCTCCTTCTCCTCATTCTCCTCCTCCTTCTCCTTCTCCTCCTCCTCTCTTTCTCCTTCTCCTTCTCCTTCTCCTCCTTCTCCTCCTTCTCTTTCTTCTCCTTCTCCTCCTCCTCCTCCTTCTCTTTCTTCTCCTTCTCCTTCTCTTTCTTCTCCTTCTCCTTCTCTCCCTTCTCCTTCTCTTTCTTCTCCTTCTCCTTCTCCTTCTCTTTCTTCTCCTTCTCCTTCTCTTTCTCCTTCTCCTCCTCCTCCTCCTCCTCCTCCTCCTTCTCTTTCTTCTCGAGGAGGCTGCAGCACAGCGAGGAGGCTGCAGCTGTGCAGCACTGTGCAGCACTGCAGCAGCTGCGCAGAAGCTGTGCAGAACTGCAGCAGCTGTGCAGCCTCCTCGCTGTGCACACGCTGCCCTTCCCGCCCGGTTTTCGGTTTTTTTTTTTTTTTTGCACTCATTTTGGTCTTTTTTTCTTTTTTTTTTTGCGCCTAAGATACTTAGTTATGAATATTTGTGGCTTGAAAAAACCTAAAAAAAGCAATTTCACAAGTTTTAGGTTCATTTAGAGTGTTTACGGCTCGAAATGGCCTAAATGAGTTCTAACTTGCCCATTTTCCATGTTTTTTGCTCAATTCTTGATTTAACTCCTATATTACACCTAAGATGCTTAGTTATGGATATTTGTGGCTTGAAACAACCTTAAAAAAGCAATTTCACAAGTTAGGTTCATTTAGAGTGTTTACGACTCGAAATGGCCTAAATGAGTTCTAACTTGCCCATTTTCCATGTTTTTTTGCTCAATTCTTGATTTAACTGCTATATTACACCTAATATGCTTAGTTATGAATATTTGTGGCTTGAAACAACCTAAAAAAAGCAATTTCACAAGTTAGGTTCATTTAGAGTGTTTACGGCTCGAAATGGCCTAAATGAGTTCTAACTTGCCCATTTTCCATGTTTTTTGCTCAATTCTTGATTTAACTCCTATATTACACCTAAGATGCTTAGTTATGAATATTTGTGGCTTGAAACAACCTTAAAAAAGCAATTTCACAAGTTTTAGGTTCATTTAGAGTGTTTACGACTCGAAATGGCCTAAATGAGTTCTAACTTGCCCATTTTCCATGTTTTTTAATCAATTCTTGATTTAACTGCTATATTACACCTAATATGCTTAGTTATGAATATTTGTGGCTTGAAAAAACCTACAAAAAGCAATTTCACAAGTTAGGTTCATTTAGAGTGTTTACGGCTCGAAATGGCCTAAATGAGTTCTAACTTGCCCATTTTCCATGTTTTTTGCTCAGTTCTTGATTTAACTCCTATATTACACCTAAGATGCTTAGTTATGAATATTTGTGGCTTGAAACAACCTTAAAAAAGCAATTTCACAAGTTTTAGGTTCATTTAGAGTGTTTACGACTCGAAATGGCCTAAATGAGTTCTAACTTGCCCATTTTCCATGTTTTTTGCTCAATTCTTGATTTAACTGCTATATTACACCTAATATGCTTAGTTATGAATATTTGTGGCTTGAAACAACCTTAAAAAAGCAATTTCACAAGTTTTAGGTTTATTTAGAGTGTTTACGGCTCGAAATGACCTAAATGAGTTCTAACTTGCCCATTTTCCATGTTTTTTGCTCAATTCTTGATTTAACTGCTATATTACACCTAAGATGCTTAGTTATGAATATTTGTGGCTTGAAACAACCTTAAAAAAGCAATTTCACAAGTTTAAGGTTCATTTAGAGTGTTTACGGCTCGAAATGGCCTAAATGAGTTCTAACTTGCCCATTTTCCATGTTTTTTGCTCAATTCTTGATTTAACTGCTATATTACACCTAATATGCTTAGTTATGAATATTTGTGGCTTGAAACAACCTTAAAAAAGCAATTTCACAAGTTTTAGGTTCATTTAGAGTGTTTACGGCTCGAAATGGCCTAAATGAGTTCTAACTTGCCCATTTTCCATGTTTTTTGCTCAATTCTTGATTTAACTCCTATATTACACCTAAGATGCTTAGTTATGAATATTTGTGGCTTGAAAAAACCTTAAAAAAGCAATTTCACAAGTTAGGTTCATTTAGAGTGTTTACGACTCGAAATGGCCTAAATGAGTTCTAACTTGCCCATTTTCCATGTTTTTTGCTCAATTCTTGGTTTAACTCCTATATTACACCTAAGATGCTTAGTTATGAATATTTGTGGCTTGAAACAACCTTAAAAAAGCAATTTCACAAGTTAGGTTCATTTAGAGTGTTTACGACTCGAAATGGCCTAAATGAGTTCTAACTTGCCCATTTTCCATGTTTTTTTGCTCAATTCTTGATTTAACTGCTATATTACACCTAATATGCTTAGTTATGAATATTTGTGGCTTGAAACAACCTAAAAAAAGCAATTTCACAAGTTAGGTTCATTTAGAGTGTTTACGGCTCGAAATGGCCTAAATGAGTTCTAACTTGCCCATTTTCCATGTTTTTTGCTCAATTCTTGATTTAACTCCTATATTACACCTAAGATGCTTAGTTATGAATATTTGTGGCTTGAAACAACCTTTAAAAAGCAATTTCACAAGTTTTAGGTTCATTTAGAGTGTTTACGACTCGAAATGGCCTAAATGAGTTCTAACTTGCCCATTTTCCATGTTTTTTGCTCAATTCTTGATTTAACTGCTATATTACACCTAATATGCTTAGTTATGAATATTTGTGGCTTGAAAAAACCTACAAAAAGCAATTTCACAAGTTAGGTTCATTTAGAGTGTTTACGGCTCGAAATGGCCTAAATGAGTTCTAACTTGCCCATTTTCCATGTTTTTTGCTCAGTTCTTGATTTAACTCCTATATTACACCTAAGATGCTTAGTTATGAATATTTGTGGCTTGAAACAACCTTAAAAAAGCAATTTCACAAGTTTTAGGTTCATTTAGAGTGTTTACGACTCGAAATGGCCTAAATGAGTTCTAACTTGCCCATTTTCCATGTTTTTTGCTCAATTCTTGATTTAACTGCTATATTACACCTAATATGCTTAGTTATGAATATTTGTGGCTTGAAACAACCTTAAAAAAGCAATTTCACAAGTTTTAGGTTTATTTAGAGTGTTTACGGCTCGAAATGACCTAAATGAGTTCTAACTTGCCCATTTTCCATGTTTTTTGCTCAATTCTTGATTTAACTGCTATATTACACCTAAGATGCTTAGTTATGAATATTTGTGGCTTGAAACAACCTTTAAAAAGCAATTTCACAAGTTTAAGGTTCATTTAGAGTGTTTACGGCTCGAAATGGCCTAAATGAGTTCTAACTTGCCCATTTTCCATGTTTTTTGCTCAATTCTTGATTTAACTGCTATATTACACCTAATATGCTTAGTTATGAATATTTGTGGCTTGAAACAACCTTAAAAAAGCAATTTCACAACTTTTAGGTTCATTTAGAGTGTTTACGGCTCGAAATGGCCTAAATGAGTTCTAACTTGCCCATTTTCCATGTTTTTTGCTCAATTCTTGATTTAACTCCTATATTACACCTAAGATGCTTAGTTATGAATATTTGTGGCTTGAAAAAACCTTAAAAAAGCAATTTCACAAGTTAGGTTCATTTAGAGTGTTTACGACTCGAAATGGCCTAAATGAGTTCTAACTTGCCCATTTTCCATGTTTTTTGCTCAATTCTTGGTTTAACTCCTATATTACACCTAAGATGCTTAGTTATGAATATTTGTGGCTTGAAACAACCTTAAAAAAGCAATTTCACAAGTTTTAGGTTCATTTAGAGTGTTTACGACTCGAAATGGCCTAAATGAGTTCTAACTTGCCCATTTTCCATGTTTTTTTTGCTCAATTCTTGATTTAACTGCTATATTACACCTAATATGCTTAGTTATGAATATTTGTGGCTTGAAACAACCTAAAAAAAGCAATTTCACAAGTTAGGTTCATTTAGAGTGTTTACGGCTCGAAATGGCCTAAATGAGTTCTAACTTGCCCATTTTCCATGTTTTTTGCTCAATTCTTGATTTAACTCCTATATTACACCTAAGATGCTTAGTTATGAATATTTGTGGCTTGAAACAACCTTAAAAAAGCAATTTCACAAGTTTTAGGTTCATTTAGAGTGTTTACGACTCGAAATGGCCTAAATGAGTTCTAACTTGCCCATTTTCCATGTTTTTTGCTCAATTCTTGATTTAACTGCTATATTACACCTAATATGCTTAGTTATGAATATTTGTGGCTTGAAAAAACCTACAAAAAGCAATTTCACAAGTTAGGTTCATTTAGAGTGTTTACGGCTCGAAATGGCCTAAATGAGTTCTAACTTGCCCATTTTCCATGTTTTTTGCTCAGTTCTTGATTTAACTCCTATATTACACCTAAGATGCTTAGTTATGAATATTTGTGGCTTGAAACAACCTTAAAAAAGCAATTTCACAAGTTTTAGGTTCATTTAGAGTGTTTACGACTCGAAATGGCCTAAATGAGTTCTAACTTGCCCATTTTCCATGTTTTTTGCTCAATTCTTGATTTAACTGCTATATTACACCTAATATGCTTAGTTATGAATATTTGTGGCTTGAAACAACCTTAAAAAAGCAATTTCACAAGTTTTAGGTTTATTTAGAGTGTTTACGGCTCGAAATGACCTAAATGAGTTCTAACTTGCCCATTTTCCATGTTTTTTGCTCAATTCTTGATTTAACTGCTATATTACACCTAAGATGCTTAGTTATGAATATTTGTGGCTTGAAACAACCTTTAAAAAGCAATTTCACAAGTTTAAGGTTCATTTAGAGTGTTTACGGCTCGAAATGGCCTAAATGAGTTCTAACTTGCCCATTTTCCATGTTTTTTGC